TGAATATGTATATCTATATATATATATATAGTATGGATTCTTGCTACAGAGAAAGTTCCAACACATGAACAACATACACATGCCAACTGCACTGCCAAGCACCTGTCTGCCACTTCTGTAGGATCTCTGCCCGCACTTCCGGAGTCTTGCCTTTGCTTGACTTCCCCATCACATACCTGTAGAGGGCTCCCCACGCCTCCGGATGCGTTTGCGAGTTGATCTTGTCCGGGCTGGTGCGATCATTCCTGCAAAGAGCATGCAATGCATGACATCTACTTTCAACACTTACAATCTGGATTATGTCAACCGAGTGAAATCTCTGAGCAATCCTTTTTCAAACTGCAAACTGCATGCTCTGTGCCGAGTTACACTGTTGCACCACCCTTTGGGCGGTCGGTATCATTGGCTTCCTTGTCTGGGGATGCTGACGGTGATGGCGACGGCGATGTCGTTGTCACCGATATCCTAGACTGAACTTGCCCTTGGCCCTCTGTTGCACCACGTTGCACAGGGGCATCCACCTCGATCACCGGCGCGGCAGCCACCTCACGTCCACCATGGCCCAACTGGCTTTCAGGCTGGGCCGACTGGCTCATAGCAGCTGCTTGACTGCCTGCATTGGCCGACTGGCTTTGCTGGGCCGACTGGCTCATGGTTCCCCCATGGTCCTGGCCCAACTGGCTCTGATGGGCCGACTGGCTCGTGGCAGCTGCCTGACTTCCTCCCCCACGGCACTCCTGCTGGGCCGAGTGGCTCTGCTGCGGCTGGCCCATCTGGAGCTGACCCTCGGCCAGCTGTTTTGTCACCTCCGTCGCGGCCCTGTGGCTCGCACACTCCCGGATCAAGTCCATGTACTTCTCCATCAGGGAGGGTGGCATTACAGACTCGCCAGCCAACGTCGCAAAGGAGGCAAAGGCCGCATCGATGGCCATTGCATCAGTCGGTGGCTGCAGCACAGGCGTGCCCATTTGCATCGGCTGCGTAGGCAAAGGCATCGGCATGGGCCCTCCAGGCACATTTCCACCGCGAGGCAGGGGTGGCATCACACCCTGCATTCCAACACCACTCATCATAACTGGCGTCGGAGACGAGGGCCCAAGAGGCTGTCCACCACCAGTCCTCAAAGGCGAACCAGCAAAAACCTGAGTCGGCATCTGCTGCTGCATTCCTGGGCTCATGTGAGCCGGCATCTGCTGGTGCATTCCTGGCCTCATCTGAGCCGGCATCTGCTGCTGCATTTGTGGGCTCATTGGAGCCGGCATCTGCTGCTGCATCTGTGGGCTCATCTGAGCCGGCAGCTGCTGCTGCATCTGTGGGCTCATCTGGGCCGGCAGCTGCTGCTGCATCTGTGCCGGCATCTGGCTCATCTGAACCGGCATCTGCTGCTGCAGTGCTGGTCCCATCTGCACTGGCAGCTGCTGCTGCATGGCTCCAAGGCCCATCCGAGCAGGCATAGCCGCAGGCCTCACGGCAGGCTGCTGCACAGCTCCAGGCTGAGGTGGCATTTGCTGTTGCTGCTGCTGCTGCTGCATAGATCCAGGTCCCATCTGCATTTGCTGCTGCGCTTTGTGCCCCATCTGTGGCATCTGCTGTTGCGGCGCTGCAGCCACTCCTGGCCCCAGGTCGGTTGGCATCTGCTGCGGTGCTGCAGCCACTCTTGGCCTCTCGGTTGGCATCTGCTGCTGCTGCCGTGCTGCAGCCACTCCTGGCTTCTCGGTTGGCTGCTGCCGTGCTGCAGCCACTCCTGGTCTCTCGGTTGGCATCTGCTGCTGCGGTGGAGAAACAACTCGTGGCCTCTCCGTGGTCGTCTGCTGCTGCGGTGCTGCAGCCACTCCTGGCTTCTGCTGTTGGGAAGCCACTCCAGGCTGAGCCATCTCAGGCTGCCTTTGGCCCATATCCTTGGGCTTCGGCATCATCATCACTCGGCCATCTGCTGTCACAAACACCTCTGCACCAGATGCATGCATGTGAACATGGCCGTCCAGCGTGCCCAGCTTTGTCCGCTTGCAAGGTGGGCTCTGTGCAAGGCCTGGGCTCATCTGCACAGGGGCTTTCCCAGCGACAGCATCCGTGGCCTCCTTGGCCTCCTTGGCCCCATCTCGCACATCATCCCGAGCCGGCGTGGTTGGTTCAGCTCCAGCAGGCGGAGCCGGAGCTTGCTGAGCTGCACGACGTGGAGGAGGAACCAGCACTCCAACCCGCCTCTGAGCGAACATGTTCTTTGCCTCCTCCAAACCAGCAGCCGCCACTCGTTGCCGCATCACAGCTTCTGGTGTCATCTCCTGAAAACGGTGCACATTCACAGGGGGGGGTGGTGGGGGTGGGGTGGGGGGGGGGGTAGGGGGGACGTGGTGGGGGCGGCGTCGGCGGGGTGCGCTTCTTCTTTGCACCGTCCGCCTCCATCTTCGGCTCCCTGGACAGGTCACTTGTCGGGGCACCTTACATGAGCCAAGACATGCACAAGCAGCATCTTTCAGACATTTCCATGATTTCCCGAAAGCAGCTTCAGACTTATATATATATATATATATATATATTTATTTATATGTATATGTATAGACACTACTATGTGCACACAGAAACATCTGCTTTCATGCAGCATAGAAGGCAAGGATTGCTAGCTGCTACTTTTGTTCTGAACATAGATATATATACACATATTATAAACTTTACATACACACATTTGTAAAGTCATGTAACTATATAGTTCAAGGTGTGTGCATGGGTGTGTATTATATTGCATATACATATATATATATATATATACATATATATATATATATGGTTACATACATAATCACATGCACAAGTATATATATATATATATGTGTGTACATATAAGAATACATGCATGTATCTACAACTGGTTCAATATCTGCATGGGTTTACAGATGTCTGTATATATGGATATAGTATAAAAGATATATCTATATATATATAGATATACATATATATTTGTTTATAGATATATATATATATAGATATATTGATATATGTGCATAGGAAATGTATATGTATCTGCATGTATATCGACTTGCATGATATGCTCATCAGGTCCATGTTCTCATCACACTGCACATGCTGGAAGGCCATCATGGAGCCACCCCTTGTCCCATTACCACTCACTCTCATCCCCATCAAACCATACCACTTTAGTCCTTGCTAGACCAAAGGTCCCTGGACAATGCTTTTGGTTACCATACAAGACTAGACTTAGCAACAGCGAGAAACAAATCGATAGACAGGATATTCGATTTACAGGTGAAGCTCTTGTTATAAGGCTGTGAACATGACTGCATTATAGATGTCCACGAAATCCAAACTGCATCCCCTCGGAAAACCTCTACACACTGGAACTGCCAACAAGTCACGATAAGACCCATGAATTTCCAACATCTGTTGTAACAAAGCCCTTGACGATGGTGTGTCAGGAAGGCGTTGCAACATGGACCGGGTCCTTGGGCTGAACGTCTTCATAATCTCAGCATCCACCCAGTGATCCGGTTGCTCTTGCTTCACCTGGGCATGCAACAACCATTCAAAAACCTGCATCTGGAGACTACAATACAGGAATGCAGAGATGCACTGGCAGTCAAACATGCAATGCATCGAAGCACCCTCACCGGTGTGAACTCATGTGAAGGCTGCGGCTGCTGTGCGAGCCGCCCTGCACCCTGCATCAACGTTGAACAGCTCAAGGATCTCAAAGCACTACCCGGTAGAGCCATCGCCAGAAATCTACCAGCAAAACAAGATCCCGGAGGCTTCAGCAAAAATCTGCGATGACCAAGTTTCGACTTTGCAAGACTGGCATGCACAGCAGAACTGACTCTCGTGAGTGAAATATATATAATATAATATAATATAATATAATATAATATAATATAATATAATATTATATTATATTATATTATATAATAGTATATTATATTATATTATATTATATTATATTATATTATATTATTTATATATATATATATATATTTACGAGCAGCGATTACGTGTATATTTACATAGACAAAACATATACACATATGTTTTGTATACTGCATATAAGAGGATTCGAGAAGGAAAGCTTAGGCAATATTTACATGACAAGATCCAGGCATATACTTAGATATAGATTCACCTGAACATGTATATTATAATGACGTGCAACCATGCAGAGCCAGCAAAGCTGCAGGGAAGCAAGGCCATTGGGGTGCACCTGCTTCGGCCCGCTTCTTCTTGTAGGCTCGGCCAACATCTTCAGTACCTGGCACATGCAGGAACATAGTATTTATATTAAAACCATATATATATATACAGATAGAAGTATATATATATATATAATATATTTACAAACTGTTTGTGTGTCTGCGTGCTCTGTATATACATATATATAGATATATAGATGAACAAGGGAAACCCAATGCTATATCTACACACTCGCATTACTTATATGACACATGCAATATATATATATATATATATATACGATTCTTTACTTATGCCTATATGCAGGATAACTCCAACACAGAAGCAAGCATGCATGACGTTCAGGCATTGTATACATATACATCCTCTACACATATATATATATGTAAATATTCGTGTGCATACATGTATACAGATAGCTGCGTCAAAGAATTGTTCCTGGCAAAACATTTTTGAACGCAGCAAAGCTTCTTCCTACGTTTAAAATACACAAGACTGCGTTCAAAAACGGTTCCGTTAAAACCAGATTTGAACGCAGCTACATGGCCACTGCTTGACCATTGCATGTGCGTTACATTTACATATAGCACATATACATATATATATATATATGTGTCTTTGTATATATCTTGTCAAGCCAGAGCAAAAACCAAATATGCTTCACATTCAGGCGCTACATCATACATATATGTATACATATGTACAGATAGCTGCGTTCAAGAATGGTTCCTGGCAAACCACTTTTGAACGCATCTAAGCTTCTTCCTATACGTTTAATATACACAAGACTGCGTTCAAAAACGGTTCCGTTAAAACCAGATTTGAACGCAGCTACATAGCCATATATGCTTGACCATTGTGCGTTACATCTATATATATAGCACACACATATAATATTATATATATATACACATATATATACATATATTTCTTTTCAAGCCACAACAAAAACCAAATATGCTTCACATTCAGGCGCTACATCATATATATATGTGTGGTTACATGCACAGATAGCTGCGTTCAAGAATGGTTCCGGAGAAACCATTTGTGAACGCATCAGAGCTTCTTTATATACGTCTATATTATATATACAGGACTGCTTTCAAAAGCTGTTCCGTGAAAACCATGTTTGAACGCTGCTACATGACAGACGCAGGATATATATGCTTGACACATGCGCATTATTATATATATATATATATCATGACAGCAATTGATTCTGCTATATATATAGGCGCTGTATCATGTATGTGTCTGTCTACATGTACAGATAGCTGCGTTCAAGAATGGTTCCGCCCAAACCATTGTTGAACGCATCATATATGCGTCTTCATACATATCTACACAGGGCTGCGTTCAAAAACGGTTCCCATAAAACCATATAAGAACGCAAGTACATATATATATATATATGTATATATATATATATAGCCATATTATGGTCTTATATCATGTATACGAATAACTTTGACATGTTCATGTGAGTCTTGATAAACATATATATACGTGTATATATCCTGGCAGACATGGTTTTTGCGTATTGTACGGTCTTATCTGCAAAAACAGCGCTGACAAAAGTGGTTTTGCGGAAAAAAATGGTTTCCTAGTGCATTTTATTGTATTGCTGTTGTTTGGGTTAGCCTTTGCGGGAAAAAATGGTTTCTGGTATGTTTCCTGCGGGACAAAATGGTTTTCCATGCCTGTTGCGGAGGCTGGCGGGCCATCTCAAAAATGCGTGCAATCCTGTGCAAAAAAATGGTTTCCTGTGCAGAATTCGTGGTTTTGCGTGCAAATGCGCGCAAATCTGTGCAATTGGTTTTTTTGCGTTTTTATGGTTTCCGCATGTTTGCGGTGGGTTTGCGTGAAAAAATGGTTTCCTGAAACCATTTTTTCACGCTTCAGATCAACATGGAGAAAGCATGGCCCGTGTCGCCCCAAAAGGCTTGCGTATATGGATATGTATAAGTGCATATCTGCATCATATTGCAATCTTAGGGCACCATATATAGACATGCTTGAGAGAACTTTTGGCCGAATTGCATGCATGCACGTGGCTCAACTGGCTCATCGGGAACTATGTGTAATTAAGTGTCACCTGTGATGACACAGCATCTCTTTTTACAAGCACCTAATTTAAAGTCCAAGGACAGACCTGATTTCAGGAGGCATGTCCAGCGATCGGGCACCAGCCAAATAGTTGATTACACTGACCATGTCCGCATGATGCCACAAGTCCTGATCAGCTTTCATCAGGAGAAGCAGGTTCGTGACACAGATGCCAGCATCATCCTGGGCAGGACGGAGGTGTACTGTTATAGCTATACATGTTCACATTCATGTGCAAGTATGAAGCAAGACAGTCGACATATTATATATAGATATATAGATATATAGATATATAGATATATAGATATATAGATATATAGATATATAGATATATAGATATAGATATAGATATAGATATAGATATAGATATAGATATATAGATATAGATATAGATATAGATATAGATATAGATATAGATATAGATATAGATACATAGACAGAGACAGAAAAGGAGACAGAGACAGATTTGCAGAAGCCATGCGTGCGTGTTGTGGGTTCGATAATCATCATCACTCTCTCTACACATAAACTCTTTCGCATACATATATATATATATAGATATATCATATCATATACCTTTTTCAATATATATATATAAATATATATATATATATGTATATACCAGATGTACATGTACAGAGACATGTTATCGAATCTATATATGGAGGGCCTTTGGGCGAACAGGTAAGTGGAGCTGAGAGACATTGCCGATGCGCAGGCCTCGAACTCCTTCATGCATATTTCGTAGGATATCCGCCAGAGCATGACCAAAGCCCACCGGATAGGTCCTCAGACAAGTCATATCAGATGTGCGTATGATATGCATACTGTATCATCCTCACTGACTGGATGCACACAATAACAATCTGAGAACAGCTCTGACTAGCACGGAGGAGACGTGGCTTGCCTGTCGACCTCCGAACTCCTCGAACATCATCGTAGTACTTCGCGATGGGAACCAACGAAGCTCGTTTGGACTCAGGCAGCAAGGTAAAAGCAGAAACAGAAGGTCTAGCTATAAATTCGACAGCATGCAGTGAGACATGAGACAAGGCACTTTGGGAATGGGTCCTCGGTCCAAAAATGCTATATGCGAGCTGTTTGACCAGAGGCAGGTGCTTTTCGCGCTGTTGCCACCATGCATAGCCATGAAGAGCTTTTGCTTGAATACCTCACAAAATATTGCCATCCGACACGAAAGGCTCTTCTGTAGAAAGATGTAGACGCACCAACACCAGTATACATATATATATATATACATATATACATTATATTGCATACATGTGCTTACACACATATATATATATATATATATATATATACATGTTTATATATATATATACATATACACATGTACATGTGTGGATATATCTGCACACCCGGAGCACTACATGCACATATGGGTATGCTCATTGAAGAACTGAATCAAGATCCCCGGCATGTGCCCCATATATCCATATAACGGCACATATATATATATATATCATATTAAGCAAGACTTGTATTATTTCATCTCTTTTGTTATGCACACATTCCACAACCTCTGAACTGGAACAAGAAACATAGCAGATGTTCTCGACGAAACGTCTCCAAAACGGAAGGTCTCCAAATCGAGCACTGCCCGGTTGCTCAATGATGAACACATGGCCAAGCACCGCTGCGAGGTGGGCCAGCAACGTGACCCTGACAGACACACTTTAGTATTTGCAGAGATGGTGGAAACAAAGTGATCATAACACGACGGTGTAAAGGATGCTGCTTGCTACATGAAGCACCTGGCTGCCATCATGTTTCCCCGGGCCACCCATTCCTTGCTAGTGTCCCCAAGAGGAGCATACCAATACCGTTGGGATCCACTGCTACTCATCCAAGAGAAGCTGCTGCAATCTGGTGCCATCAGTAGCACACTTCGTGGAGCCAGACGCAGTACAGACAGTAGGGCCAACCTTGCCAAGCTATGACCCGAATATAGTCCATGCACACAGAATACCACCCTCCATTATGATTACAAGCAAGTCTTTCTGAAAAGATCCCAGGGACGAGAATCCTGCAGGCCTTAAAAAATCAAAGCCCTCAAAATAGATCCGGTCCATCTTGAACGCAGGAATGCCACGAAGTTTCACAGCAGCCGTGACATTGGCAGCACCAGCAAACAGCTCTCCAAACTGGTAGGCCTTGCGAAGGGATGTATGTCATCAGTTATCCGCTCACCGACATAGATGTATCTAATTGTGATATCTATCTATGTATATATACATATATATATATATTTGCCTCTTCTTGATATATATTCATATATATATATATATCTTTATATATAGTTCTAAATTGTATGTATATATATATATATATGAATATATGTATGTGTGTATGTGTACAGACACAGAACTACACCTGTTTAAATGCATGTGGCTACATCTGCATCTCTATATGCAGATAGGCACATATACCTATATAATACACAGCTATATATATATATATATAGATAGATAGATCTGAATATATATATATATATGTGTATATATATATATATATGCCTGCATGGTCTTTCCCACATCCATCACACACTTCCATATACAGCAACGACAGTACTGGACAACCTTTTTGCGACAGGTTGCATAGATAGGTAAATCTGAAACTTGTTTCTTCATCTTTCTACACCATCCACAAAACACATGCTCGACAAGTGAATGTCCTCGGAAACAGGCTGTAAATCCCATGAACACATGCCAGGACAAGGCCACGAATGCAGTCAAGCAGCCCAGGTCTTGTCCAATTCCATGTTGAACACCAGGAGTAGGATGGCAACACAGATAACCTGTAGAGTGACTTTTCCGAGTACATGTTGAGTGAACAGCATGTTCATACTTGCAAACACAAGGTGATGACAAATACTTTTTGCAGCCAGCAAACATATGGAATGTTGCCAGCATATAGCTTCCGCATGAGCACATCCAGCGACCACTGTGCCATGATGCTCGAAGCAAGGAACTCCCAGAATCAACCCAAAAAACTGACAGGCCACACCTGCAGCTTCTAATATGAAGAAATAGTCATGAAGACTGAGCCCCCCTTTGTGCATATATCTTATGGCAAGACATATAGTTCCACCTGAAGCATAAAACGACATGCCTTTATGTGCATTGGTCCACATCTACTACACGTGAGCCTGCCAACTGTGGAACATGCCATATTCTTCACAGGCAGGGTAGACATGCGTGCATATATATATATATATAGAAATACAAGTATATATATATATATACGAAGCCAGATAACATATGTATTCATTTATGCAACCTTAAAATGACACCCGGGACAACATGCTATATATAAATATATAATATAATATATAATATATATTTTAGTATGATATGATATGATATACGATAATATATTTACGTACTATATATATATATATATTGCACACACACATATGTATGTAGGTATATATATATATATATATCTTCTGTCTGTAATATTCGTGCAAGGGCACAAGCATCAAAACAAGAACGGGTCAGACCAACCCTTCAGCGGCGCACCACCAGCTCCAGCATCGGGCTCCCGCTTGGAACCTGGCCATGCAAATTGCAGTTGTTTGTTCACACCCCAACACAGCATCGTACTTTCAGCATTCGTAGGCTTCTATACATTCAGTGTGTGGAATAAGACTTTCGGGCGTTTGTCTGTATCATGATCCTTCTCAAGAAATCTACAAAAACTTATCCAGTCCAGACTGTGTCTAATATAACCCTTCATGGGCAAGCATCCAATAACCTGGCATCATTCCACACCCACTCACATACATATGCATATCTGCACACATGCACATCCACATATGCGTGTGTTTGTATTGTGTATAAATAAAGAAATCTATATATATATATGTATATATATATATATATTTATTATATGCTGATAAATACAGAAAAGTTGAAAGATGTAAAACAAATAAACAGTGACACAGCATGCACTCATCTTGTATAGTCTGGGTAAATATATGTGCATGTAGATATATATATATATATATTCAGCATACGTGTTTTTACCTATATATCTATATCTGTATGCCAGAGCACATGAAGCAAGTGGCACCAACAACAAAAAACACCTAAGCTTTGGGAACCCACACACACACATCCTCCAACATCCCCCCATTTCCAAAAGACATGGCCAGCCTCGTGACAAGGCTTCCTTTCGGATCTCATCACCTGTAGCAGCGTTTTCAGATGTGCAGTAGCCAGTCATATACAAAGTTCTTCATCCGCAGCAGGTCAGGCATAACAGTCCCCACTTGCATAGCCCAGCCCACCTGTATCCGATAACGAAGCTAACTTCAGCAGCCGCTTCTTGCCAGGCATGCTTTAAGACCTCAGCGCACCACTGAACTTCAACATGTGAGTTGCTGGAAAGCACTTGCACTTCAAGCGTTCAAACATGCTGCTGCAAGCAGGTATTTTCTTTCGGAGCACAGAAGCACCACACTGCGAAGTCATATGGAGGGCCCCATCTGGCATGTAAGGTTTGCAAGCTATGCACGCCACTCCCCTCCAGTCTGTCAGAAGACCACTGGAACAAAAACAGGCAAGGGTCTACAGGCTGGCCTGGTCCTGCCTCCCACGTTTGGCGTAGCCACAACCGCACTATCCCTACAGAATGCCATTCCTCCATGAGAAGGTCCAGGGCATGTCCGATCACCATCTGCTTTGAAAGCTCACTTTATTGAAGGCTCCAGGACCTATTGGATGCAACAGACACACCCTTCCCTCCAGGCAAAAAAAGGCTCACATGAGCTTTGCTCACGGCCAAACTTCTCCATGCTGATCCTCGAGCTCTGCACGGAAGGTCCTGATGCGATTGTCCATGTCCTCGCCATGGATGCTGATGCCACTATCACAGATGGATACCTGAGGAATTCGCACATGAATTAGCTACCCATTTTTGAATTCAGCACCTGAGTACATTGCAAATCATGACCAAGGCACCACCTCGTTGGCCACGAGGACACCGACTTTCATGTTGCTGAAGCGCATGCTCCACACTTGTGTTCCGTTCTTCTCACGAACTCCAATCGTCTTCCTGGTCCAATACAGCTCCAGCCTGTAATTGCGCCCATGCCGCACCAACCTGCAACTTTGTAAGACACAAACTCTCGGCACCTGGATCAGCATTGCTATGTTGGCAGTGCCTTCCCATGCAGGAACACAGTCTTCAAGTTCATGCATGCATACTTATGTATATATATATATGTACATCTATATATATATATATATTTATATCTACAGATATGCAAAGATATTTCTTCTATATGTATACCACCATACAACTTGTGATACGATCAGAGCTATATATGCACTGTATAAAAGCAATATACATGCACTGATAAGCATCAGCTCAAATGCCGCAGTTCGTGATTTGTGTCGAGCAACGAGATACGTAAATATAGTCATCATTGCACACAGATATCCAGGGTTTGGTCGCACGTAGATCCGAAGCCACCAAGCCACGCACCACTGCACAGATAGCAGTAACGTGAAAGAACGAGTGCATGCGTGAAAGAATGTATGGATAAATGAATGAATAAATGAATCAACCAATGAATGAAGGAATGAATGATTCAATGAAGCAATAACGGAATGAAACAGTGAATGAATGAATAAATGAATGAATGAATAAATGAATGAATGTTCGAATGAGTGGTTCTTCAGCTGAATATTTGAATTTCATGCAACATGGATACCTGAGTGACTCAATGAATGGCTGCATGCACGAATGTGTTAATCCATGAGTGTGTGTACATGTGCATGCATGTTCATTTGTATGACTGTCTGTGTGTGTGCGCATGAATACCTATATAGAGATGAACAGAATTATCTATGCATGTACACATGTCTGAACAGGTACAGGTTCGTCTGTGTGTGTGTGTACTTGTGCATATCTTCATAAACACACATGTGTATATATACAGACATATATGTGTGCATTTACTTCTGTACATTCGTATCTATAAATATACAGGTCTATGTATATTCATACATGTATGTGTGTATGTATGTCTGTGTGTCTGTATGTGTGTATGTGTGCGGTCTATATAATTGTTATATACACATTGTCTACATATATGTATATATGTACCCACATCTATATATATATATATATACACATGTTTGAGTGTGTGCGTGCAGATACACTATATATAAAGGTTGCAAGCATGAAAGAGAGATATAGGTTTCATACACATGCACACACATGAGTGCTGAGGCTTCAACTTGTCGCAACAACAGCTTCAGTCGCTCGCACAGACATAGCATGTATATATATATATAGATATGTATATACTTATTTGTTTATGTATTTACACATGGATTTGCTGTAGTATAATAGCCTGGCATATATCTGTATAACCATCTTGACTGCATATCATAAAATGGCTCTTGTGATATATTCATATATTGAATGTAAAGGAAAGTGAAGAAAACATAGTTGTATCTGTGTCTCTATATGTGTATATATATATATATGGAACAGACAGAAACATGCATATCATATTATCGCAACATAACTAAAGCAGCCCAGCAGCTCCTTGCAGATATTCCGACTCACCTCGGAAAGGCCTCGGTTGCAGCCACGGCCACGGCCACGACCGCGAGGTGCTGGCACCACCGGTGCTGGCACCGCCTCATCCGGCACACCCTCCCCAGGGCCTTCTGCAGCATCCACATCAGGTGCCTCAGCAATCTCATGCTCCTCAGGGAGGCTCGGCTCCCCAGCACCCTGTCCAGCCAATGACTCAGACAAGTCTTCGATCACATTCTCCAGGGCCGCATCTTGGATGGGCTGGATGGGCACGGACGGCTCGATCGGATTCTCCAGCGCCGCATCTTGGATCGGTGCCGATGGCTCGATCCCATTCTCGACGGGCGCCGACATGGGCACCATGGCCCCATCTTCGACAGGCCGCTCCCCCGCAGCACCACTGTCCTCAGCGACGCATCTGGCAGCTGGTCGCTTCATGGCCTTCTTGGCTGCCCCTTTCTTGGCCGCCACTGCTTTCGCCCGCTTAGGCTTGGGCTCCGCAAGCACGGGCTCCTCCGAGGAAGTATTGCGCTTCGACCTGGAAGCCTTGTCCATCGGCGTCTCCTCCGGCACTGCAGGCCCTCTGCCATTCGGAGTCACCAGCTCTTCATCCCCGTCCTTGTCACCGGAGCCTGAGCTCCGGCCCCTGCCACGGCCACGGCCACCGCAGCCACGGCCACCACGACGGGCACGATTCTGAGCTTGCTTTGTCTGCCGCAGCACCACCTGCTGCTGGTGGCTGAATGCCTCCCCATCATCCTGCAGGAAGTCTTCCCCGTCGCTTGCCACAGCCACAGCAGGATGGCTCGGCACAACAGGCAAGGGCATGGGCCCACAAACCGGGGAGCTGTGCTCGGGCTCCTCTGCTTTCTCACTCGCCTGCTTCATGTCAATCTCCGGCTCCTCTGCAGTCCCCAGCTGCATGTCAATCTTTGACTCTCGTGCTGTATCCTCTGCATGCTCAACCGTTGGCTCCATGGGCTCTTCATCCTCAATCAAGGTCTCCATGCATGGGCCGTTCTCGGGCTGCTGCAGATGTACAGCATCGAAGTCCTTCGCCAAGGATCGGTGGATGGCGGAGGATGGCCGGCTTTCATCCTCCCCCCATTTCCATGCGGTGGCCCTGCGAAGCATATCTTCATCGTAGAACTGAGTCGCATCCACTTGCGTCAGGGCCATATCATCACGGTCCAATCCATCCCTGAGGACAATATCGTGAATGAGAAAAAAGAAAGATTCATACCCCTGCATGTTATGAACATATACGATATATATATATATATATATACACATAACTATACAATATCTAGATAGATATCACTTCATATATATATATATATATTATAGGTTCATACAATATACTACACACACATGAATGTATATATACATATACATATAAACATATATATGTATATGGAGAGAGGTGCATTCCGAAAGCATATTTATGTATACATACTATCCTTATGATTATGGCCTGTGATAGTTGTAGATATACATATATACAGAAAGAGAGAGAGAGAGAGAGAGAGAAGCAAATATATATTGAAAGGGAGAGCGACCTGCCTACCGATGATGTACACCTTCAGCCGGACATGCAACAACCATATACAGAGCTCAGGTGCATATGCTTGGAGTCTTTACAATATGTATACATCCAGCTATGCATGTTGTTGAAAAGCCTGCATGTCTTGACAAGCACATATCAGAGACCACATGCATGAAGTCTTTCTACCTATATGCGGGCCACGAAACAAATCAATATATGTTGCTTCTGTATTAGTATATATAAGTGCATGTATGCATATATACAAACAAAGGGAGAGAGCTACATGCAGATAGAACATTGAAAACAATCACTTGGTTTTATTGTTTGGTACTTAGCCTATTGGACACCACAGCCTCCTTTTATACAAACGTGCAAGTATGCAACATATATGCACAGATCCGTTTATAGACAAAAGCATGCCAATCTGTGCTACCCTTTGCACTCCTAGCTGGATCTTGACATCTTTCTTATGCTTATTTCAGCAACAGCATGCATATGTCAAGACCGTGTATACTTGTAGCTACATGGCTGTATGTATATATATATATATATATATCCATTTTGCAATCTAAATCGGTATTTATCTTGTCTACTGGCCGATCTGATTCTGGACTCACTGCTGCTAAGAAGACACAAGATAGCAACATGACATGGGCTATTCTATGCAGATACTCCCATGCTGGGAGATATACATACATATTGATTTTTTTGCATGGGCAAATCTATTCAGCATTGATCAAGAACTGGCACTGCACATGATACACATTTATTTGTGCTTCTGATGCAGTTATATCAAGATGCTTGATTAAGGCAAGGATCGGCTTGCTGTGCTCTGGCGTATCCTCGATGCTGATGTTGCAGGGGAAGGCCTATGCAAGCAAGTGCAAATGAGGCAGTCAAGCGTCCGGCATCCAACTACACAAAACACCCAACATTTCTAGAAGCACCTCACAGGAGGAACCATTGAACAGCCGCGCTTTGTCCAGGCTCGCCTCAGCTACACTCACAGCATGAAGAAACCACTGACCCGAAATCCAAACTTCAATATTCAAGGACTTTGCTAGCCATGAAGCTGTGGCATCATCCGGAAGCATCGGACAGGTATCCACAATATCTGGCATCGCACCAGCCATGATCCTATTCAGTCATATAGTCCAAAACCCTGAGTCTAGCATGACACAACATACATACACACGACATTGGGGCCACTGTCCTCTCCCGCTTCACCTGCAGCTCCGCTAGAAGGCACTGTTTGACCTGATCCACAGATGCGGAGCCTCAGATCGACAGTCACTCACGAAGGATGGTATGTGCACATGCATGGGTCACACATGCAGAAATACATCTACAGATGCAGTGCATAAGATATTGCATGCATGTGTTCCCAAGACATCAAGCAAACAAGATCAGCACAACGATTCCCACCCGTGGTGCATGCTGCATATACGTCTCAGCAGCACAGACAAACATATGAAGTGCAGATTGTATTCATAATATATATATATATAGATATATACAAGGATGCATATATATATATATATATGTATATATATATATATGTATATGTATATGTATATGTAAATATTTTTAGACAGACAAACAAAAATCCATGTGCACTCGATGCACATTTGGGCCTGTTCAACTCCTGACGATTATCTGAATATTCGTAACACATATATAATTGACATAGCTCAACACATGTATTTGCATGATACCGGTTTTAGACATATAATTTCCATATGAAAGATACGGACATGAGGTTATGTATGTATGTCTGTAAACAAAGAAGCATATAAGCAAATAACTCAATGAGTAAGTGTATGTGCATGCAATGACCAAGTAAAGACATTCATAAACACATGTTTACATATATATCTATGTAAACTGAGGGAGAGAGAGAGAGAGAGAGAGATAAATATCATGCCCACATCGACATATATTGAAACTGACGAAGACACAAGTCGACTGAATGCAAGCATCTCACCAAAAAACAAGGAATGCTAAGCAAATGCACATGACCTGCATGCGAATCCTCAGCGGCGCCCTCGGGTGTCTCAGCCACACCTGAGGAAACAGTGATCTCACCAAAGATGGGGTCATCCAGGTTGTGGTCACCAGCTGGCATGACCGAAGAACCTTCATTCTCCGGAGCCCCTGTGGTGAGAGTCGCTGCCACCACCCGCCTCTCATCAGGAACACCCGAGGAGCTTGCCGAAGGCTCGTAAGGGCACACCAAACCATTCAATGTCTTCCAGCGGCCCTCATGCGGATCGTAATGGACACCTTCCTGTACCGCACCACAGAGCATGAGGGCTGCAGCATGGCCGTAAAGCTTGGAGAGCCTGTCGAATCTCTCATTGACGGTCTCCAAAGCCTCGCCACGGCTGCTCGAAGCCACTGGGCCATCAATGTCTTCATGATCCGATGCTTGCGGGCTGAAGGCCTCGGGCATCACATAGTCCTGCGCATCCTGGACTGGCGGGAAATCCTTTGCTGCATCAACCGGCGGGGCATCCATTAAGGGAAGGGCATCAGCGGGCTCGGCAAGCACATCCTCTTCAGCGCCTGCAATCGCAGGCACATCCTCTGCACTTCCAGCCGCATCCGCCAAGGCCGGCTCCTCCTCAGCAGCGCCGTCCCCGATGGCTTTCCTTTTCTTCCAAAGGGCCCGCGTGCGGTTCTGCACCTCCAAGGATTCCGGATCCATCTTGCTGCAGATTTTGATGACATAGGGCACCTCGTTGGCCTCCATCTGGCGTGCCACCTCCCGAAACCTGTCCTTATAATAACACATACATCCGACACCACAGCTGCCCACAATTGGATGCATCAGAAACCGCACAGGGCTACACTGGACAGAAATGTGAGAGTGCAGCTGTGCTTCGGTCAGCTTCTGCACCTCCGGGTCTCGCTGACAATCAGCACGGTCAGCCAGTCCTTAAAATCCGAGCCATGAAGTCAATGCCATATATGTCGAATTTCATATATATATATATATACTTATATATATATATATATATACATATATAGATACACACGTTTTCTGTTGGTACGTCTGTTCCGAAGCAAAGCGATGTGCCTACCTGGCACTATCAATGGACCCCTTAATTATACACATATGTATGTGTATCTTCTTTGCAAATATGTGTATATATATAAATATATATAGACATGTAGTTGTATACGTGTATAATATATGTATATATATATATATATGCTTGGTGATATGTCTACACATGCCATGCTGCTGTGACGATATTTGTCAAAGTTAAGGTTTATGACAAGCATCGGCGATGACAACACACGAAGGACTTGATTGCATGAGCATCCGGGTTGATGTGGGAGGCATCGATCTTCACCTGACAAATGTTGTATCCGACTCTTCCACACAAGGAAAAGACCGTTTGAGTCTTTCGGATTCGTAACACAAGAAAGCACCTCGTGCTTCTCGACGTTGAGGTGCTTCATCTGCATGGCACACGAGCTAACCCAAAGATAAATATGCCCATGCGGAACTCATATCACAAAGTCCAATCCCGACCCACCTTCGTCTGCACACGAAACTTCGACAACACCATTTCCAAGACATTGACGTAGCCCAACGCGTAGTGCTGGAGATGGCGTCCACAAAGAGGGCCAAGTAAAACCTTGGAAAACATTTCATGGGTGCGATACTGAAGGAGCCAGTGCAGTTGTGTCCAAGCAAAACGGAAGTCGAGGCACAGCATTGAGCTTCAGTCCCAAGGCGGTCGGGATCCGCTGCTGACCTTTGCTGTCCGCCGGCCATGAAACCAAGGCCTTGTCGTTCAAGGCCAAGCTTTGCAGCGCCGGGCTGTCAGACCACTCCTGCACAGCACGAATGTTTGCGTGGAGGGATGCAAAGCACAAAGCTCACACTGTGATCCCAATGGCCTGCATCACAGCCTTCAAGAGCTCACTCAGGAGCTTTTGCGACAGAGCTTCATCCGTCTCTCGGATCGGTCCCGGCTCCATGGCACCACAGAGCACAAAAGAAACAGCTCAGAAAAGCTAAACAAAAGCCAGAAGCTGCCAGACAGGGACGGAAGTCAACAAGCCACAAGAAGCATCGACACTTCCACCAGGGGCAACTGCTGCTCTGAATAAGGCTGGGCTCCAGGCTTCCATCACTTTCATCAGCATCATGCGTATGCACATTCCAAGTTCTGCTGACTCATACTCTTGCATTTATTGTTACCCGAATGCGTCTCTGCTGTGCGCCATGTTACCGTTGCATTGCATTTATAAAACTGGGACGTCATTTGAAAGCATGAGATGATTCGGCCATCGTTCATCAACATGGTTGGATGCTTCCAATGTTGAACAGGACGGCTCTGCTTGTTCATGGTAGGAGAACATGTTTGATCCTGGTCACACACCTGCAACCAAACCAAGCCATCACGATCACAGCTGCTCTGCCAGCAAACTTGAAAAGCAGATGCTCATGCATGCTGCATGCCAGAATGTATATATATATATATATATGTATATACATATATATATATATATAAATATATATATATATATCTTGTTTTCTGATATATGTATATGTATATGTACATGTACATGTATGTGTATACATGTGTATATGTATATGTACATGTATGTTTAACTGTGTATGCCCTTGCTTGCATGCATTGCTGTAGGTTGGAGTGTATTGAAGTATGTGTTCATATGTGTGATACCACCTGTTTTTCTGATGATATAGTACCAGTGCAGCCTTCATGGATATCTCAGAGCTGCTTCTGTGTCCGTATAGATTTGAAAATGTGTTTGCCAACAAAAAAACTTTGGTATGGAATCATGAATGGCATCCAATAGAAAGCTTCGGGTGTGTTTGTTCAAGAACTAGTTTTCTGGTCACCAAGAAACTATTTTGTACCGGAAACCAGATTCGACCCACCAAAAGTAGGAAACCAGAATAAACCCCTACAAACCCATGTCCAGGTATGTACATAAATGTACATATACAAAAGTTAAGCCCTTAGCACTCTAGTGCTTTAGAGGGTGGTATTTGTGGTTATTTTTGACAGCCGGGCTGGCCGTGGACCTAGCGGACTGTCAAATGTCTTCGAGTGCGAATGTCGTCTATGAAGCTTAGATACCCGAAACCTTAAGTTCCTCAAACTTCTTGAACCAAAAGACCCTTAAGGCCCCTGAACCTGTAGTTCAGAGCCTGCAGTATGGCATACAGTACAGTGCTTGACTAGGACCTGTGACGAGGAGTCTGTTACGAGCAAAAGCATCGAGTTTTGGGTGCCGGAGTTAGGGTTTGTAGGCCTTGGGGTTAAGGGCCGTGAGTAATATAGAGGCCTTAATAATTCAAATAGGTTTTGGGTATATAATACTATACATTATAATAAGGAACCCCCAAAACCCTATTCTAATTATTAAGGCCCCTACAGTATAGGGTGGGGGCTTGCCCTCGGAGGACCAGCGCCGGAGAGCTCGGCTGTGCTGAAGCAGCGCGTGTTTTCGGATGCCTCCTGGCGGCATCAGAAAGTGTTGTAATGTAGGGGCAACGAACGACGACGACTACTAACTACCCGCCGACCAGTAAGCACGAAAACCTGGGACCAGAGTGTGGCCGGGGGTAGGGGGCGGCGAAGTTTGAGCTCACTTGGGCATAGCCGACTGCTCTTCGCCTAATTCACTGGGACCCGGAGCGGAAGTGCTGTCTTTTTTTTTTGCTTGGATTTGCTACACAGGGTTCCAAGGTTTGGGGCTCGGGAGAGAGAGAGAGAGGGGGCTCTGGGCTTCGGGGTTCGGGTTTGTGGTCAAGGTTTAGGTCCTAAGCGTTAGGTCGTTTGATTTCCACTGAAAGCTTTCTATCGCGAAAGTAGGCTGCTGGCCCTGCGGACCACATGTGATAATAAACCCCAACCTGAAAGCCACCCCGCAAGGACCTTGAACCCTAAATCCCTATACCCTTGGACACTAAACCCTCGACCTTGAGACCTTAAACCCTGTCCTCAAGCGTGCAGGAGACCGATGTTGGCTTGCACCTAAGATAGAAGCCTCCACACTCACAAATATTGCTTATCAGGCTTCCTTGACCTAAGTATATTGCAATATGCCCTTCATGGGGCCTCAATATCTTACAACATGCCCCTAATCGGGCCCCGAAATTGAACAGCTGAGGACGATTTCCTGCTTCTCGCAACTCGCCAGCATAGTTGCGTGAATTAGGGTCTGGTTCAAGCTTTATTATGCTTTTTGGTCCACCTCATCCAGCCGTTCACGCAGCATGTGCGCTGTCCTTTCTGCTTTCGGTCTTTCTATGATAATTCTAGCAGAGCATTCTCGAAGTGTTTCAGGGCACTGTATGAAGTTAACTGTGCCTTTGCCAAAGTATATTCCCGGTGACCATGCTGAAGGGAGTGGCACTAGGGCTTGTGAAATCTCCAGGCCATCTTACCCTAGGCACCAAGAACCCGGCACCTTTGCGTAAACCGAAATCCAGCAGCCGTCACGGTTTAGGGTTTAGGGTTCACCCGGGCCGCCAGAGTCTAGGACATTTTCAGGTGGGTAGTTACCGTTATAGGAGCCGCATAGAAGGTCTATATATACCATATAGAAGCCTTATAGAATCCCTATATACCCTAAACTCCCCACCTGCAGTTTCCTTTAACAGAGTGCCAAGGATGAGGAGCTAGACGACAGAGCCTCGACTGCAGCAAGTTAGAATCCTTCCATCAGGGGAGGCTGTCCGGGAGATTCCACAGTCAATCAGTTAGTTGAGGGTCCTGCATGCTGATCCTTTTTGTAAGAAGTATAGGCACGACTTTGAATCCCAAGTTCAGAAGCAAGGTTGGCCAGAAATCTTCGCAGGCTGATGACATAATCGAACCACCAACCCGTAACTTCAAACATTGGCCTCTGTGTTGTTAGATTGCGGTAAGTAAAAGAATACCAGGCATGGACTCTCGCGAAAATCGTTCCAAGTTGTGCGATTTCTCTTCTCTGGCTTGCGAAAACCTCCTAGTCCTGCCTAAACCCAAAACCCTAAACCCTAAACCCCAAGGTTTAGGGTTTAGGGTTTAGGGCAAAGCCCCTAAACCCTAAACCATAAAACCCTAAGCCCTGAACCCTTGCTCTGTCAGGTGTGCAGGGAAAGGACGACAGGGTGGTCGAGGTCCTGCTCTGCGGCAAGCCCGCCAGGGCCTCGAAGCTCTGGGTTTAGTCCCTTAGGGGTTAAGGGTTCAGGGGCTTTGGGGTTTAGGGTGTTTAGGGTTTTGGAGCTTTAGGGTTTAGGGGCTTTGGGGTTTAGGGTTTAGGGTTAGTCCCGTAAGTGTTTAGGGTTTCGGGTTTAGGGTCCAGGACGACTGCCGAGACCCGAGAAAGAAGAAATGCGCCTCAATCATCAGGAATACCTTTCCTTAGGGATCCTGGCATTGTAAAAGTAAGCTGTACTATAATGCACCGCCCGCCCTCAAACCAAAAAAAATAGATCAACGCCCCCTATACTGCTCGGGAGTTTGGGCTCATTGCTTTTTGCATAAGCCTAAGCCATGTTTAATTCAATCCGAAAGTATCTACACCATCGAGGCCGTAGGGACCCATCGAAAAAGCCGAAGCCCCAAACTGTGGGCGAGTTTGTCACAGGTAGATCTTGCATGGCGATACTGTGAAGACCGTTTTGGGCGCTGAATTCTGGGGCTCAGGTCCGTCGCGACCTGAACCCAGACTGCACATAACCTGTCATGAGTCAACGAAACCGAGAGACCCCGTCTG